CCCGAGATCTGATTTCTAGTTCATTTGTTGTTCATTAGAAAGATTTTCTCTCTCTTATTTGCTGCACCCCTGCTGCTGCGTGTTCATTAGGAGAATGGAATGTATTCCAAATATTTCCTAGCTCTAGCAGGGCAGATGGTGGAAAGTAATTTTCCAAAACTCTTTTGGGGAAAAAAAAAAAAAAAAAAAAGATAACAGGGTTTGGGGGGGAACACCCAGATAACCCCAAGTCGCCCTCGCTCGGCTTGCGTCAGGATTGAGCGCGCAGCCAAAGCCCGTTCCTGCCTCCCGAGCTACGGCAGAGCGGTGGGAAGTGTGGATGAATGGGAACGCATCCGATGGCATGTGGGATGTGAGCGTTTTCACAGGAAACGGCGTTCGGAAGGAGCGTTGAGCCAAACGCAGAACCCRCAGCGGGGAACACGAGGGATTCGCCCGCCCGGCCGCGCCGGAGCCTCCGCTGCCCGGGCGGCCCACGGATTTTCATTCCCGATTATTCCGCTCTGGAATCAGGCGTCCTCTGGGTAATCTGCGCTGCAGCATATGTATGTGTAAAAAAAAAAAAAAAAAATAACGCCGCCGTGTTTTTAATTAAAATGTGCAAGATAATACCAAGAGCAGGGAGGAGGAGGAAGGGAGGGAGCCCAGATTAAGTTTTTAATTGTTTTAATAGTGAGATTTGGTGCRGCGAGAACAGGGCATATTGGTTTCCTTGGAAACACTGGCGCCGTGTTAGCTGTAGAGAATCTAGCGTAAGAGCTGCGCACGAGCGGAGCGGCGGGTTTCAGCTGACATTGCGGCTGCCTTCACGTGGGGAGCGGGATCCACGCGCGGCCCCGGCGCCCCAAAACGGGCGATTCCCGCGTGTCCCCCACGCCTTGGGACTGACCATTCCTCGGGCCACCGGGAACAGCAGACACAAACGGTGACACTGAGGCAGGAGCCGAGCAGTGCCCGGCTGGGGCAAAACTCTGCCAGATTTGGGCAAAAAGCTCCAATTTGGGGCTTCCTCGGGGATTATTTGTGTAGCAGCGGCCAAGGCGGCGTGTCCCTGTCCTGGGSTGACCACGGAGCAGCCAAGCGCGGCCGCAGGGGCAGGCGCTGCTCGGGGCGCCGCCGAGGGGCCGTGGCGGGGCTCGAAGGGGGACGCGGGGCGCTGATGGCGGCGCGTGCCCTCACGGCCCGCTCGGGGCTGGCGGGCGCGGCGCCTTTAAGGCAGCGGCGCGGGAAGCGGCGCGGGCGCCCCCGCCGCGCCGCGGGTCACGGCGCGGTCACGGCCCCCACCCCGCCCCACGTGCGGTTCAAGCCCACATGGCCGCGCGCGCGCCCGCGCCCCGCCTCTCCTCGCGCTGATTGGTCGCCTCGCTGCCCGAGGGGGCGGGGCGGTAGCGGGGCGCCCCACTTCTGATTGGCCCGAGCGCGCGTGTCGTCTGCACGCGGAGGCCGGGGAACGCCTGCCGGTGACGTCAGCACCGCCCCCCGCCTGCCCCGGGCGCCTTAAAGGGGCAGCAGCGGTGACTGCCGGTCTCGCGGTCCCGCGGGGCGGCACTGCCCGCGTGCTGCGGCTACCGCCGTGTCCCGCCGGGCCCACCCGCGACCAGCCCCGGCCCTCGGGTGTCCCGGAGGAAACGGGAGGGTCTGGTACCACGTGGTGTTTAAAAAAAAAGAGAGAGTTTTGTTGCCAGAAAGTGGAAACCGTGGCTGGAAACGTTAGGAATAAGGCTGGGCTGGAAAGAAATACAGAATTATTTGCCATGGTAACTATTGCTGCATTGGGTTGTGTGTATTGAATTAACATGAATCTGAAGGTTAGTGCTGTGAAGTATTTGGTCTCTTTAATGGACAGCTGTTTGGTTAAGGGCTCTTTGGGGAAGTTTTGAGTTTTTGTTTTCCCTTAGATGGTCTCAGTGACTCTCTGAAGAAAACGATTCCGCTCCTGGGGTTACTTCCTTGCGGTGTGGGTCTGTGTGCCCAGTTACACCTGGTGAATTTGCCGCTCGTGTTGCAGGGTGATGCTGGGGCAGCTGCGCTCACATCCACAGCGGGTGCTGAGCAGTTTGCGGGGAGGAAGGGAAGGAGGGTTCACAYGGGCCGCTTAGGAAAGCGACTGACTTGTGGTCCTGTAACTGGTGACATTGTGGTGTAGTCCCAGGTGACCGAGCAGATCCATGTGTCTATTCAAGGGCCTCAAATAGCGGGGAAGCTCCTGGTCCTGTGTGGAAAACTGAAGCAGAGATGATAAACAGCCCCAGTTTGCCCCAAACCAGGCAATGAGCTGAGCTCTGACACTGCTCAGGCTCGCCCTGTAGCTGATGGAGGAAGAACATAAGCAACGCTGAGAAAAGCATCAACAGTGACCAAACCTACTGGAGCTTGTTCTGGAGTCGTCACGTTGGCCAAGTGCTTGYACAGAGGAAACTCAGAGAGGCTGCAGTAGTTGGGAGAGTGGATAGAGCTATTGCAAAGAACAGAATAAATCACTCAAAGTTAGCTGAGGTACTTTAATTTTTACAAGCCCATCTGGGATGACTTTAATTATTTGTTCTTAAATCATGGTGGAAAAATGCTGATTGTTCTTAAAGCTGCATGAGTAGCTCAGATGAAATTGGGATAGTGGTAAACGGCACATTTTTAAACCAGCAGTGACTTGCAAACAGTTCTCTTTTTCAGAAAGGTTAAGAAAACGCAYGAACTTGCAGCAGCCTGCATGTGAAACTGGAGCCGCCGCATCCACCAAGGCTGCGCAAACTTGGGAAAACTCTCCTTGGATTTGCAGGGAGCCGATGGGCACCTAACCCTGCAGACATGTCCAGATCTGTGTGCGTTCGCGTGTCCCGTTGGACGGATGCTTTTCCACACACGGCTGCTTTGCCCATTTCCTGGGTGAAATTGCATGTTCTAAAAAGTAGTGACAAACTCATGGAACAAAGAAAGGAGAGGCTCGATAATTCATTAGCTGGGGAGCTGAGCTGCCACGCAGGAACAACGCCTCACCGGAGCAGCCTTTACCTGCTGGAGGCCACGTAAGGATGYACCATAAAGTCAGTGCCTTAAGACACAGTAATTCTGAGTTACCAAAATGAGGTTCATGYGCGTGGGTAGCCCTGTGGTCCAGCCGGAGAGCAGGGCTGAGCAGCTCGAGGGGACGCGCTGCGTATTTGAAGTGCAAGGGGCTGTACTGGATGTGATGGCCTGAACTTGGCCCACGAGGTGTGGGATCTTCTGCGAGCACTGCTGAGGAAGGCACCCCAATCTGCAGGTGTTCCCAAAAGGGAAAAATGCTTCCAGATTTTACAATGGCAAAGGCAGATGGGCAGGGAAGCCACTTGAACAGGCCCTGTGGCTGCAGCCTGTGCCGGCCTCGGCTCCGGGGCTGCTCCCTGGGGCCTCCGCGTTCCCGTGCAGGTCCGTGTGTGTTTGCTCTGTACCTCCATAAAACATTTCTAAGAAATTTGCCTGGGGCAGGAGGAGTCCAGCCTCTCGCACAAAGCAGAATGAATCAGGCCAAAAGGGAGATTAAAAAATACACCACTCCTACTTCGGATGAGGTAACTGAGACTGAAAAATAGGGTCAGGAATACTTCATTTCCAGCTTTAGGGCAGTTTTTTAAAGTGATTTTTGGTAAGCAGCTTGGGTTGGATTTTCCACGGGGCGGGGAAGGGCCCTGGGTCAGTGGGCGTCCCAGCTGCTTTTTTTTCTCTGCTGTCCCCCGTCCAGCAGGAAYCCACATCCCTCCAGCGCCGGGAACTGCAAACTTCCCAGAGCCCTTTTCTATCCGTGATGCAAGATCCTCTGCTGTGTTTCCTTTGGATCGGTAATTGTTGGGAGTTACCATCTGTCAAGTGGCAGGGAGTAGAGATTAAACAGCCTGGCAGTTTGTTGTTCCCTCTCTCCAGGCATTTTCCATGGGGCTGGATGGGGCCACGAGGAGCTTTATTTAATGTCACTCTGTAAATGCACATGTGGAAATAAATCCCGTTTGCTGGGGGAGAGGAATTGAAGTTAAAACTTAGTGATGAGCAGYACGGAGCCCCACTGGATGCTCCATCTTCCAGGAGGGCTGCAGCCTCCTCATGGCTCCTCTCCTTCCCCAGCGTGGGCTCCAGACGTGGGCCTACCTGGACACTCTCTTAGCACTTCCCAACAGGGATCCATGGCGATCCACTGGGAAAAGGCGTGCTGGGGAGATAACCTGGGCTCTATCTCCTAGGAACAGGGTTCACTGAGAGTTACAGCAGCTCCCCCGCGCTGCCGCCCTTAAGCTGCGTTCCCAGCGTAACCCCCCGTTTGCACGGGTTTATTTCCCGGGGAAGGGAAGCYGGGGCGGTCGCGGGGGCAGCGGCGAGGCCCGCCCGTGCCCGTGTCGGTTCCCGTGTCCGTGCTGGCGGCTCCCCCGAGTGCCCTTGGCGCGGGGACTGCGGGGCGCTGCGACGGGCGCCCGGAGATGCGGAGCCGTATGAAAAAAAAAGGGAAAAAAAAGGAAAAAAAAAAAACCCGTGAAACGCGGCCACTCGTGGGGCGGCCGGGC